TCCTGGAGGTTCCAATTGACCAGAACTGAACTGGATCAGCCACATAAATACTACATCTGCATGAGCAGGCCAAAGGCTAGGAATTGCCTGGCAAAAAACCCTCATCTCCCCAGTGCCTGACTAGGATCTACAAGCCACTAGTCAGGAGTGTGATGGAATACTCTCTCTTTGCCTAGATGGGTGCAGCTCCAACAACACTCAAAGTGTTTGACACCATCCAGAACAAAAGAGCTAACTTGACTGGCATTCCATCCACCATCTTCAATTATCACTCCCTTCTCCATCAATGCACACTAACTGCAATGTGCACCATTCACAAGATGCACTGCAGTAACTCACCAAATCTCCTTCAACACCTTCCAAACCTGTGCCTCTACCACCTAGAAGGACAAGGGCCTTGTAAGCCACAGATATCCTGACTTGGAATTACATTGCCTTACCCTTACTATCACTTCACAGTCATTCACTGGCCAGAGTCTGAGAACGCCTTCAAGCAGTACTGTGGGTACCAAAGGTCTGCTGTCACTCATGAAGGTAGCTCACCTTCTCCAGGGCAATTAAGACTGAGCAATAAATGCTAGCCTGGCTGGTGACATTCACACCCTATGAACAAATTTTAAAAACCTACACAATGTGACTGCAGTCACATTATTTGGAGTACATGCTCTTCTTGAAGAGATGGAAAGGTACTTTGAACGATAAGATAGAAACAATGGAATAGGAGAAAGATAATACATCAGAAAAAGACAACGAAGATAGAAAAGAACACAACAGAAAAGGAAGGGAGTACAGAAAAGAATACAAAGAAAAATATCAGGTGCAGATTACTTTTGTTGTGTGGCAACCCCAATGGCAAGCCATAAACACAGTTAAAATTAGACCGTGATTAGTAAAACATCAGCAAAAACAGTAGTTCACAGAATCCCACGGAAAACATAATCACCATCGGTAACTTTTAAAAATAGAAAGCCCCCTCTGCTCATACTCTCACCCCCTCCACTTTTAATCCCATGATGTGGTATCAGGAAGAGGCTGAGTGATACTGGAAAAGAATGAGGAACTGGTTAAGTCTCTGCTCTGACCACGGGAAATGAGAAGGAGACCGAAGGAGGCTTTGGGCTGTAAGCATTCTATTCTCGAATAAGGGAAACTCCAGGCTGACTGGTTGGGAGGCTTCACAGCTCTAGCAGGGGAGGCAAGTTTGGCAGTGGGGGTAAAACGATTCTTAGGAGAGTATGCCTCTCACTATTTCATAGAATCATAGAATTTACAATACAAAAGGCTATTCAACCAATCATGTCTGTTCCTACTCCTGAAACAGCTACCCAGCTAGTCCCATTCTCCAGCCCTATTATTTTATTCTAAGCTTTATTCACTTATCCCTCTCCGTTTCTGAAGGTAGCACAGTGACTAGTGGTGGGACCACAACTGTTTACAATTTACATAGATGATTTCAAGTTGGGGACCACGTGTAGTGTGTCAAAGTTTGTGGATGACACTAAGACGAGTGGTAGAGCAAAGTGTGCAGAGGACTCTGAAAGTGTGAAGAGGGATATAGATACTTTAAGTGAGCGAAGGTCTGGCAGATGGAATTAAATGCTGATAAATGTGAAGTGATCCATTTTGGTAGGAATAAAGTAAAAGGGACTGTTACCTGAATGGTAAAAAAATTTCAGCATGCTGCTGTGCAGAGGGACCTTGGTGTCCTTGTGCGTGAATCGAAGGAGGTTGGTTTGGAGGTACAAGTAATTCAGAAGACAAATGGAATTTTGTCCTTCATTGCTAGGGGGATTGAGTTTAAAAGCAGGCATGTTATGTTGCAGCTGAACAGGGTGCTGGTGAGGCCACACCTGGAGTACTGCATACAGCTTTGAGAAAGAATGTACTGGCACTGGATGGGGTGCAGAGGAGACTCACTACGTTGAATTCAGAGATGAGAGGGTTGGCTTATAAGGAGAGGCTGAATAGACTGGGATTATATTCTTTGGAATTTAGAAGACTGAGGGGGCATCTTATAGAAACATATAAAATTATGAAGGGACTAGATTAGATAGAAGCAGGTTGTTTCCACTGGCAGATGAAACCAGAACCAGGGGGCATAGCCTCAAAATTACAGGGACCAGATTTAGGTCTGAATTGAGGAGGAACTTCTCACCCAAAGGGTTGTGAATCTGTGGAATTTCTTGCTCAGTGAAGTAGTTGAGGCTTCCTCATAGAATATTTTTAAAGCTTAGATAATTCTTTGAATAGTAAAGGAATTAAGGATTATGGTGAGAGAGTGGGTATGTGGAACTGAGGCCATGAAAAGATCAGCCATGATCTTGTTGAATGGTGGAGCAGGCTTAAAGGGCCAGATGGCCTACTTCTGCTCCTGATTCTTATGCAGCACCGCTTGTTCTGGAAACAGTTCAATGAACAGTGGCACATTCTGGTAACTCGTCCAAGTGGTATTCTGTCATATACAAATTAATAAGGAACAATGGCTCAGCAGACTGCGTAACCATGTTGGAGATAGGCAAACTTTGCAGCTCAGTTCAATCCTGCCCTCAACCAAACATATATCCATACACACACTTTGCATTAGTACACCAGCTGAGTAATTAAAACGGAGTCAAAATATGATCACATTATTGGCTAGCATCACAAATACCCAAACTTCACAACACAATTGCACAGTACTCTGCAGAAGCAGCAAAATGCACTGATTGTCAATGGGTCAGGATGGATGGGCTGTTTGATGTGTGAATCTTTCAGAATGCAAAAATTTAGATTCAGGGAACCAGATTGAAGGATGATGTCATTTTCTTCATTGCACAAATTCGCAATCAATTTAGTTAGCCTTGGCAAGGAAGATCATCAATGACCACATACTGCATTTATTAGCCGTCATAATGTAACATGCACTTGCCAAATGCATGAGATAGTGGTTAGGCAATTAACATTGTGGTAACTGATCGATAATTGCTGCTAGAATAAGACAAAGTCAAGAAAAATCATTGACCTATCTTTTGTTTCCCTCTGTGGTCCATTTATTCCATTTCTTCCCTGACACCACTCATTCACCTTTGATTCTAATATTTACAAAGCAACATCTGGCAGGGTCTCTGATTTCTCGAAGTGAAACAAAATGTCTCCAATTCTCAAACATATTGATTCCAGAATATTATCTTGAAATTAAATGTACTTAGATGACATCCGTTCTATGCTGGGATTCTGATATAATATTTTATTTTGGCCCAGAAAGAAATAAAAATTCAGGGACAGAGCATTTAAGATTAATTTCTTGCCACTTATTAAGTGACACTAAATAAACAAGGGTCTGAAGAGAGATCTGGGAGTTTTAACATTGGCCACAGCCATGACAGAGCACCAGTCAGCAATGAAGTCATCAAGCTGATGCAACAATGTCTGGTTGGGCTCCAATTTCAACTCTGGGTTAAGTGCTTGTCACACTAGAACGAGGAGATTTTTTAAACAAAAAAAATCATTCAAGGCATGTTGGCATTACTGGGTAATGCCTGCAATTACCGCCCATCCATAGCTGTCCTCACGAAGGCGATGATAGCCCCACAATGCTGTTAGGGAGGGAGTTTCAGGTTTTTGATCCAGCAACTGAAGGAACAGCAACGTAAGTCCAAGTCACATGGGGAGTGGCTTGGAGGAGCACTGAGAATGGTGGTACTCCCATGTGTCGGCTGCACTTATCCTTCTAAATGGTCGTGGTCCTGGATTCGGAAGATGTTGACTAAGGACCCTTAGCGAATTTCTGCAGTGCATCTTGTAGATAGCATACACTGCTGCTACTGACCGTTGGCAGTGGAGGAAGCAGATGTTTGTGAATGCAATGCCAATCAAGTGGGCTGCTTTGTCCTGGATGGTGTCAAGCTTCTTAAATGTTGTTGGAGCTGTACTCATCCAGGCAAGTGGGAAGTATTCCATCACACTTCTGATTTGTGCCTTATAGATGGTGGACAAGCTTCAGAGAGTCGGGTTGTGAGTTACTCACTGCAAGATTCATAGCCTCTGACCTGCTGTTGTAGCCACAGTTATTTATATGGATAGTTCAGTTCATTTTTTGTTAATGGCATCTCAGGATGTTGACAGTGGGGAATTCATTGATGGTAATGCCACTGAATGTCAGGTGCAGTGCTTAGAATGTCTCAGATTTTCATTTCCTGGCATTTGTGTGGCACAAATGTTACTTACCACTTACAAGCCCAAACCTGGATACTGTCCAGGTGTTGCTACATTTGTACATGGACTAAATCCTGCAAGTTATGCAGAAAGGGGACATTGCTGATCCTTCACATGAAGGGACTAAATTTCAAAAAAGCCTACAAAAACTAGAATTCCTCAGTTTTTACAGAAGATAAAATAAGATAACCATTAAGAAGCTACCAATAGAATGACTGTATATGGAGGCTGCATGCCACTCAGCACATTCTGGGAATTGAATGCATCAAGACATTACTCACCACGTTGTCTCTTTGAAATAGATCATAAAATTCAATTCAACTGAAAACCTGTGGAAGTCTGACTGATGACTCTTACACTTCAAAACTTCGATTTTAGTACTGCCTCATTCAAAATCCACCTATAATTTTAAACTGTTCTCTACTTCTTTAAAAGATTGCATATGCTAATGTGCAAGTCTAAAACAGGATTTGACTTAGGCAGAAGACAGTAAAATTAATTAATAGATGATTAACTTGGACTCCCTGCCCACAGTATCACCCAAGTCCATATGCACCCAGAGGTGGTCTCCTCTGGGCAAAGGATCTTCATATTATACCAAAATATCAACTCACCATCCAAACAAAAAAGGATATTCATACTGTACTTTTAAACTTCTTTCTGATAGAGGGGACAACCTTCACATCATGTCATCCAAAACCCTCCAAGTGCAGAAAGACCATAAAGATAAGATTTAGCAGTCTCAGAAACACAAAACATCAAGTTCTTTCTCAGAAATCAGTAATCAATCACTCATGTTCCCTTACCATTATCATTAAGCACGGCTTTGCATCCTATGCATGTGCTTCTTTTCTTTGCAAAGGCCATGAGCCCACCCACCTTTGACGTCAGCACAGTCTTGCATCTCGTGTGTTCTCCCCCTTGAATAAAAAAAATTACAGCTGAAATCAACACCCTCAAAAACTTAGAGACAACAAGGAGCAGGGCTGGATGAACACAGCAGGTCAAGCAGCATCATAGGAGCAGAGAGGCTGACGTTTCGGGCCTAGACCCTTCATCAGAAAAGGGGGAGGGGAAGGGGGTGCTGAAATAAATAGGGAGAGAGTGGGAGGCGGATAGAAGAGGGATAGAGGAGAGGATAGGTGGAGAGGAAACAAACAGGTCGAAGAGGCGGGGATGGGGCCAGGAAAGGTGAGTGTAGGTAGGGAGTTAGGAAGGGGATAGGTCAGTCCAGGGAGGACGGACAGGTCAAGGGGGCGGGATGAGGTTGGTCGGTAGGAGATGGAGGTGCGGCTTGAGGTGGGAGGAGGGGATAGGTGGGAGGAAGAACAGGTTAGGGAGGCAGGGACGAGCTGGACTGGTTTTGGGATGCGGTAGGGGGAGGGGAGATTTTGAAACTTGTGAAATCCACATTGATACCATTGGGCTGCAGGGTTCCCAAGCGGAATATGAGTTGCTGTTCCTGCAACCTTCGGGTGGCATCGTTGTGGCACTGCAGGAGGCCCAGGATGGACATGTCGTCTGAGGAATGGGAGGGGGAGTTGAAATGGTTCGCGACTGGGAGGTGCAGTTGTTTATTGCGAACCGAGCGTAGGTGTTCTGCAAAGCGGTCCCCGAGTCTCCGCTTGGTTTCCCCGATGTAGAGGAAGCCACACCGGGTACAGCGGATGCAGTATACCACATTGGCAGATGTGCAGGTGAACATCTGCTTGATGTGGAAAGTCTTCTTGGGGCCTGGGATGGGGGTGAGGGAGGAGGTATGGGGGCAGGTGTAGCACTTCCTGCGGTTGCAGGGAAAAGTGCCGGGTGTGGTGGAGCTGGAGGGGAGTGTGGAGCGGACAAGGGAGTCACGGAGAGAGTTGTCCCTCCGGAAAGCAGATAAAGGTGGGGAGGGAAAGATGTCTTTGGTGGTGGGGTCGGATTGCAGATGGCGGAAGTGTCGGAGGATGATGCGTTGGATCCGGAGGTTGGTGGGGTGGTACGTGAGGACGAGGGGGATTCTTTTTTGGTTTTTATTGCGTGGACGGGGTGTGAGGGATGAGGTGCGGGAGATGTGGGAGACACGGTTGAGGGCGTTCTCGACCACCGAGGAGGGGAAGTTACGGTCCTTGAAAAACGAGGACAACTGAGATGTACGGGAGTGGAATGCCTCATCCTGGGAGCAGATGCGGCGGAGGCGAAGGAATTGGGAATAGGGGATAGCATTTTTGCAGGAAGGTGGGTGGGAGGAGGAGTATTCTAGGTAGCTGTGGGAGTCGGTGGGCTTGAAATGAATATCGGTTTCGAGGTGGTTGCCCGATATGGAGACAGAG